CAAGCAAAAATAAGAAATATTTGGCACCAACCACTAAAATATATCAACGCTGAGGACCAACCTGTAATTCAGCGATTCTGATCCACACGATACCAGTGGTCTCTATATTAGATCAAAGTATATGGGATGATATAAACGACGTACGATAGGTCAGGCCTAGCGAACATGACATCATTTATAGTATTGAGGGATTCCCCTTTGAAAAGTAAATAGCACAACTGAGGGCAGATCAGAATTAGCCTACTCTTCATTAGTACAGATATATGAAAAAACGCTAGCCTTATAAAAACCTTCATTTTTTCCTAAATACGTTAACTAGCCAAACATACTTTGAGTAGTAATGAATGCGCAATATCGGCTGAAATACCTTATGTATAAATAAATTATTCCAAGTGAAATATTAAGACAAATCGCCATAATATTTCACATTCACTGTAATTCCCTCAGTAAACGTTGAGTAAGCTTGCTTTGCTAAAGTGCCTGGTTGGCAAAAATGGATAATAATCCAGATGAACTAGAACAGATATGAGCAGTAGCAAGGCATTCAAATGTGATTCAACATAATCCTGAATTTAGAAATAGAATACTAAAAATTCTTTCAAACCTCACAAAATCAAATCGTTCCAGCGAAAAAAGCCAAATGAATGGTCGCAAGGCGCAAAATATTAACAAATGCTCCTAAAATCCCTCCGAGGGCAAAACATGTAACACGAGCCCCCATTTTAGGTGTAGTTATTAGATGAGGAGTATATGAACGGGAAAGAGGATGGGACGGTTCCATTGAGAACAGACTCAATATAAATCCGGATTCAAGCAACATCCAAGAAGAAAGCTAATACCGTAAGCTAAGGATATGCACAGGATGTATAAAGTAATGCCATGAGTGCATAGTAAGGGAACGAGTGACAAAAAATTCTAGGTGAGCAAATACAGTGAGTGAGTTCACGGGCTATTGGTCCAAGGATTAACGAATAACAATGGCAAAAATAATAAAACTAAAGAATACATGATACAACCTAAAAGAATTATATTATGAATATCAGGGATAGTAGTAAATTAAGAACCCGCGAAACTCAACGAAAAGACGCTTTAAACAAAATCATAACTAAAATCAAGAGGATGATGTCAAATGCAAATGTATGCCAAGCATGTGATCATTAAAAGTGTATAAGGTGACGTAGATAAAGAAAACTAAATAAATGATTGAGGCGTACAAGTGAATTGGTCACAGGAGAGGGCAGGTGCGAATAGGATAACGCTGGGCTGTTCTGAATCTTTAAACAGTTACATAGACGTTAAAATAAAATAAAAATGCCAGTTTCAGATTAATTAATTATTCAAAGAGTAACTTAACAAATAAGCCGAGAAAGTCAACTTGTCATAATGTTGAAAATTTAAACAAAGCCTTTTGTAAATTTATACATAAATAATAATTACGTGAATATATGAGCACACTACTCTAAACGATTTTTGCTCCTTTAATAGTCTGCACGTCTGAGTTATCGATTCGAGTATATTAAGGAGTGCATTATTTTATCTTTACTAGATTTAGCAGTCAGTCATTAAATGACTTGACAATGCAAAAAAAAGTTATTTGTAGCTTCGCACCTACACTAATAAAAACTAGCACCGTAGACCTATTCGTTATGTCTTATATAAGCAGCCTAAACTCGATTGAATAGTTAAGTATTCAAATGTAATCGAATATTTCTGTAAGTTTCAATTACTATGCCAACCATAGGGTTTTA